TCTGATCGGCCAAACTGCCGTCAAACCAAGCGGGGGTCACCTTTTCTTCGGCTTCGCCGGTTTGTCCGCTAGATCTGACCCCCGCCAAACATCTCTGCTTGTGAGCTTCCACCAACGGCCCTTGAGGTCATTCATCACACTCTCCGGGAAGATCGGGAAATCGGGATTTCCAAAATGATAATGCCGAAACAGCCACGAAACGTGCTTCTTGCAGGTCTCGCAAGTGATGGATACACTATGCGGTTTGTGGCCGATGACCACATCATGATGAGGAGTGCCAGTCACGCAACTGATCATGTCACTCGGCTGCACCGTCGGGGAAGATCCGCTCCACGACACAACACTGGCTGATGAGGCTGAAACGGAACTCGATGAACTCGTCACGGAAACCACGGTTGGTGATGCAGGGGCCGAATTTCCCTGCGATTTTATTGATCTTGATCTTCCAGATCCCCGTGCTGATGCTGCAGTGTACGGTGATGGCGGTGCGCTGGCTGGTGGTGGTTCTGTCGGTACCTGTGGCGGCGGCGGCTGCTGAATCGCAGCCGATGCTACTGAACTTGATGCCTGTGCGCTGCTGAATACGTCCGCGTGGGAAATCGTGATGTCACCATCGTGGTCACGATCCTCTGGAATCGTGGGTGGTATGTTGCGGCGTCGGCCGAGCATGCGGCCGTCCCATCCAGGGTGCTCACCCATGGCCTTCGCCTCGGCGGCGCTCTCCTCGTTGGCGATCGCGTTGTTCTGCCTCTGGATCGTCCAGAGCGTCATGAAGATACCGAAACCGATAGTCATGCCGAGGACCAGCGTGAACGTCAACAGGCCAATATAGAAGCTGTAGTCTGGCATAGTCGGCGTGGGCGTAGGCTGTCCCTGAACCTTTCCAATGCAGGTGAATAGGACTGATGCGAGCATAGCAGCCTGTGGCTGCCGGGTCCCATAGGTATGTTTGCGAGCCCCGAATAACGACAGCAGGACGCCGGCCTCCATCGTCTTCGTCAAGGCGTCCGCGGCCATGGCCCAGGTAGGGATCCAGCTGAGCTTGAGCGCACCGTTGGGGTGCACGGCCTCCTTGATCATGGAGGCGACGATGCGGAACCGCTTGTCAGTAGACTGGCCCGCATCTGAAGCGATGTGCGTCACGAGACCCTTGCTGTCGCTGTAGATCTCCCCAGGGCGCTTGTCGGCGAGCACGTCGATCTGCTTGAGCGCCGTCTTGGGGTTGTAGGCCTCGGTCAGCAGCTGTCGGAACCACATTTTGGTCTCCGACCCCTCGAGGGTAGCGTAGCCTTCGGCAGCGAGGGTCGACTTCACCGACCTCTTGACTGTGCCAGAGAGCCAGGCGACGGGCAGGCACAGGTCGCACTGGCCGCCTACGACGTCACGCGGGCGATGGGTGAGCCCCATCACCATGCCCCGCTGGCTCTTGACGCCGTCCACGTTGGCGAACGCGGCGTCGCTGAAGCACGCGGTGATCGCCGTCTTCAGGTCGACGAGCTTGCGCTTGAGCACGATCGCGAAGTTCGCGGTGGAGTGCGCATAGGCGACTGTTTTGTTGAGCGCCTTCGCGTCGGCCACGGTAGCAACGTTGGTGCGTCGAGCTGCAAAGCTCACCTGGCAGGCGATGCCCACCCGGGTCTGCATTGCTAGCCACAACAGCTGCCCGAGCGTGTGGCGGTAGCTCGTGACCTCGGTGGCGGTGAGTCGGTCCTCAGCTCCTCGGCCTTTCTGGGCCTTCAAGTCGACGTAGTCCACCTGTGCGGCAGCGGTGGCCTGGGTCACGCGGAACTCGTCGTCGAGCTTGGTAATCGTGCGTCCGCAGTACTTGATGGCCCCTTCGACTGGCTTGAGGTGTAGCTTCCTCCCCAGCGATGTGATAGTGGCCTTCCACTTGGTGGAGTTGTTGCGCTGGGCGATAAGGAAGTCACCCACGTGTGAGTGGACCGCCCGCTGACGCTGTCGGAGAAGTAGGCGTGGATGTCGGCGTCGCTGACGCTGACGTAGGAGTTGGCAGGGTAGGGGTTGATGACGGCGTCGCTGACGCTGTCGGAGAAGTAGTAGGCGTTGGTAGCGTCGCTGACGCTAATGTACGCGCCGAGCAGCAGCGCGAGCAGGAAGCCGCTGGGCGTTGATTCCGTGGGTCGCGACGGCTTCGTCGTGGCTGCGCAAGAGCATGGCGCGCAGCTCCAGGATATGAATGGCGCGCGGCGCCGGGCAGCTGAGACTCGCTCCAAGCTGCCACTGTGATATGGAAGATTGTCGATGGATCTTCTTATTCGCGGCCTCGCGAGGGGCGTAGCTCTAAGGCCAAGGGCCCTCGTCCGAAATCAAACGGCAGCCGTGGGCAAGGGGTGCAACGCAAAACCCTTCGGGAGTGAGCTTGCACCACAACAAGCTCTTAACACCGAGGCTCTCAAACGGACGGTGGCATGGCGAGTCCTGCACCGCCAAGGCTCCCAAAACGAAAAATGGCGTAAAGAATACGGCGCAAGAGAGCCGCAAGACGGCCGAAGAAGGCCCCACGACTGCCCACAAGAGCTCCAAAAGGACCCCCGAAAAGGCTCGAAGAGGCCAAAATCGATGATTGTCCGTAAGCGTGTGGAAAATCGTCTCTTATTCCGTAGATAGTTCCTAACAGCGAGGCTCTCAGTGCGGATAGTGACGCGAGAAGTGGTTGACCGCCAAGGCTCCCTGTGCGAACGTTAACGTAAATAACTTTGAGCGCCAAGGCTCCCAGTAAGAACGGTGGTGTGAGTACTTTCGGGCAAGTTTCTGAAGCGCTCTTTCCATTTCTGTGCCAGGCCAGGTAACGGAAAGAGCGAGGTACGAGTGATGACCTTGTGTGTTGGGCGAAGCCCTTCAATAGGGGGGGTTTCCAGGGGGTGGTCCAGGGCGGAGTGGATGGGTTTAATGGTCTTTTGGGGGTTTCCCTTTGGGTTTTTGCATGTTTTTCAGATTCTCCCTCAAGACGGCCCAAGTGCGCTCCAAGAGAGCCCAAGACCGCCCAAGACGGCCCAAGAGGCCCCCAAGAGGCCCCCAAGAGGCGCCCAAGGGGCGTCCCGAGAGGGCCCCAAGAGGCCAACATCATAGATTTTCCATAAGAAAACGTTTATTTTTAGCATATACGGCTTTTCGCTTTTCACGGCGTTGACGACGGCCCAAGGGGCCCCCAAGACCGCACCAAGACGGCCCAAGAGGCTCCCAAGAGGCCCCCAAAACGGCCCAAGAGGGCCCCCAAACGGCCCAAGAGGCGCCCAAGACGGCCCAAAAGGGCCCCAAGACGGCCCCAAGAGGGGGACCACGAACCGAAAAGTCTAGCCTATCGCCCCAAGACGCTCCCGGGAGGCCCCCACAACCCCCCAAGAAGCCCCAAGAGGCCCCCAAGAGGCATCCCACGAGGCCATAAGGAGGCCAACATCATATATTTTCCGTGGGAAGACGTACATTTTTAGCATACACGGCTTTGCGGCTTTCATGGCGTTGAAGACGGTCCAAGAGGCCCCCAGGACCGCACCAAAACGGCCCAAGAGGCTCCCAAGAGGCCCCCCTCACGGCCCAAGAGGGCGCCACGACGGCCCAAGAGGCGCCCAAGACGGCCCAAGAGGGCCCCAAGACGGCCCCAAGAGGGGGACCACGAACCCGAAAGTCTAGCCTTTTTCCCCAAGACGCTCCCAGGAGGCCCCCACAGACCCCCAAGAAGCCCCAAGAGGCCCCCAAGAGGCTCCCAAGAGGCCTCCAAAAGGGCTCTACAAGGGCCCCAATAGGACTCCCACGAAGGCCCAGAGACGCCAAATAAAAGCGATCGGTAACGCAAAAAGCTCTTCACACCAAGGCTCCCAAGAGCGAGCGGTGACATACACAAGCTGATAAGACCAAGGCTCCCAGCAGAGAGCGGTGACGTAACAAGTTCCTGACACCAAGGCCCAGCCAAGTCTAAGGGACGGGCGGCAACGCAAACATCTCTGAACACCAAGGCTCCCACGAGCGAGGGGTGACGTAACAAGCTCTCAACGCCAAGGCTCCCGGTACGAACGGTGGTGTGAGTAATTTCGGTTTCTGTTGCTGCAGCGCTCTTTCCGTTTTTGTGCCGGGCCAGGTCTAGAGGCCTTCGGCCTATCTTGCCACCGTGCCTGGGTTGTGGGTCAGAGTTCTCAGGGATGCTTCTTCTGGTCTCTTCGGCGCGCTCTCGGGGACCTCTTGGGAGCAGTCTTGGGGCCTCTTGGGAGCCTCTTGGGAGCCTCTTGGGGGCCTCTTGGGGGCCTCTTGGGGGCCTCTTGAGGGCCACTTGGGAGCCTCCTGGGGTCTCCTGGGAGCCCTCGGGGCCGAGAGCTCGAACTGTCCGTTCGGGTTCCTCATTTGGGCTTTTGGGTCCGTCTTTGGGCCCTCTGAGGCCGTCCTGGGTCCGTCTCTGGGCCCCCTTGGGGAGTTTTAGGGCCCTCTTGGGCCGTCTTGGGGCGGTCTTGGGGGCCCCTGGGGCCGTCTTGGGGCGATCTTAGGGACCTCGTGGGCCGTCTCAGAGCGTCGGAAAGCCGAAAGGGCGAGAAGGCCAAACATCTTCAAAAACCGGAGGAGAATCAATGTTTTTTTGCGTCTTGGGGCCACCTTGGGACGCCTCTTGGAACACTGTTGTGAAGTCTTCGGGGCCTCTTGGGCCATATTGAGGTCATCATGGGTGTATTGGGGCACTTTTGGGTCTTTCGGATGCATCTTCGGCCCTCTTCTGCTCTTTTTGGGACCTTGTTTGGCTGGCTGCGCTACCAGAGGACACGCGCGACACGCCTGGGGAATCCTGGAGAATACCCGGAAATCCCGGGGAATACCCAGCAGTCCAAGGGAATCCCGGGGAATCCCCGGAAATCTTGGGGAACCCCGGGGAGTCCCGGAAGTCCTCGGAAATTTTTGTGAATCTGGTGGGTTGGGTCTTTAAAACCTTTACCTTACAATTCTTCTGAACTTCTCAGGGCTGCATGGGCCTCGGGGCACTCCACTACGTGCTGCAGGCACGGTGGCGGATTAATTGTTGGAGATGCCCCAGAGTTGATACAGTCGGATGGATCGTGGGATTTGCAATCTCTCCTCGCTTCACATGGGGAGTTGATCGTCCGGACGTCGCTCGTTTCCAAGGTAAGCAACGAGGCGTTTCCAGCAGATGGACCTTCCATGCGCATCAAAGAGTTCGTGGATCTCAATTCGACGAAGTATTCGGTTTTCCAAAAGTGCGAGGAAGGCGACATGTTTGCCTTCAATGTTTCAGCGATTCCAGCAGAGCTTGATAAGCTCATCATCCTGTCCATGGCCAAAGGAGGCTCGAGCACTGCTTTCCACAATCACGGTGTCGCTGCCTTTTTCCTTGTAAGCGGCATCAAATTATGGTTGCTTGCAAAACGCATACCCGCCGCCATGCAGCATGTCTTGGCCTACCAGACTGGACATGAGTTGCTTCAGCACCGAGAACACTTCGACGAGTGGGGCGTGACTGTCCTGCTGCAACGCCCTGGCCAGATTGTGGTGGTCCCTTACCTCTGGTACCATTCAACAATAAATCTCGAAACGGCGATAGGAGTGTCTTATCAAGGGGAGTACAACATCACGAGTGGCACGACAGACAACGAACATTCTTGCATTGGGTCGTTTCAGGAGGGGCAGTGCTCACAAGCGTTTCGCATATGTACAGGAGAGAACCCATATCAAATTCGATATTGGGAGGAATGTATTGGTAGCTGGGACCCCACCGAGGCGCGTGAGCATTTGCAGGAGCTCGAAAAACATATACTCGCCACTTCATGCATAGACTGCGAATATGAATGGACTCGTGTGGCTTTCATGTGGGCGAGGTTAGATGTGAAGAAAGCGGTTTCGTGCCTTAAGCGAGCTTTGAAAGCAAATCCATCCTACATCCAAGCGTTGATGGGGGCATTTGCGCTCACGAATGACGAGAAATTTGAGAAGAAGCTGAAGAAGCTGTACGGCAGGTTTCCCAGTACCCCCCCGCTGCAAGATCATTTCGAACCCCGCGCTGAGCCAGAGCTGTAGAGCTACGGCTACGGGCGGGCGGATTGGTTTTCCCGTTTTCTGTCCCTTCTGCTTCGCCCGGTGGCCTGAGGCTCACATTGTGGGGCTCCCAGTGCGTGCACCCGCTGAGCAAATCCTACCCCCCTCCCCTCCTCCCTTCTTCCTCGCAGGGTGCCGCAGAGTAGGGAAGACCCTGACTATACACCGATACCGATCGTGTCGAGGCCGCTCTTAGGCCCATGATCGATTTGTTACACGGCGTTTTCCCCCCACACCAGTCTTGGCCCAGGATCGGCCTGGCCAGGATTGGCGTTGACATTTGGCGTCTTCCAACCCCAGCGCCTGTCCTCGGCTGAGTGCTGCGGCAAGCGTCTTCGTACCCCAGCGCGCCCGCCGCCTCTGCCCTCGCGGAGAGCGCCCTGTCCGAAGCGCCGGGCACGTTGAGCGCGCCTTGCGTTGCGCTGCGCTTTTGTGTCGCGTGTCTGTTGTTCCTCGCCAGGCCCCGTAAGGACTCCAAGCAGGTCGTGAGGGCCCCCTGCTCCGGGTCGGACGCTGGGGGGAGCGATAGGGAAAGGGCGGGTTACGAAATCCGTTGCATGCAGCTGGTTTAGGCTCTGCGGCCAGGCGGCCAGGCGTCTTCCTCGATACATGAGCTCCTGCGGCGCTGGGAGGCGCCGCGAAAATCAGCTGCGTGATCAGATTCGCTAACCCCCCTTCGCTAACCCCCTTTCGTCGACCCGACTGTTGCCGCGGGAGCGCTGCCTGTCCCGAGTCGCGCCTCTGGACGTCAGACAGTGCGCCCCGGAGAGAGGCTCGGACGTTCGGCCTGGGGGCGTCGGCAGCCTGCAGAGGAAGGTGCAGGTCGCGCGTATTACTGAGAGATTGTTCCTCGCATTGCCTTGGCCGAGCGCTTCTTCAGCAGCTTCCACTGAGCTGGTCCCAGTTTCTGACTCTCCTGTGCGTGCACGCGGCCCGTACGTGCAAGGCTGGGGATCTGGCCAGAACGCCTGGCGGGAGATTTCATTATGACCAGATCTCCAAGCGTCTTGAACAACAAAATTGCTGGGCTCTTATTTTTTTATGTTTTTGGTCTGGGTCCCAGTTTCCTTCCCCAGGCACATGGGAAAAACGGCCTGCGGCGCAGGAGCAGTCCCAGGTATGCGGTCGGGAGCTTTGGTTCCCATGTCGCGAACACATCTCGAGGTCGGCTGTCTGGGTAGTCACAATACCCCCTGCGCCAGGAGGGGCTCGAGGCCCTGAAGGCTTCCTTGGGGTCCCCTGGAGATCCTGGGCGGCCCCCGGAGGCCCCCGGGCAAGTTGACAGTGCAAGTGGGCTGTCCCATACCGCGGCCTTCCCGCGTCGCCCTCCAGGGTAGGGCCCATTTCGATCCGATCGATTCGAAAGCGATTTTGACTTGCCCGATCCGATTCGATTCCGATATTCCGACGATCCGATGTGGTCCCGATTCTTTCACGGCGCAGTTGGGCATTTTGGCGCGGCCGATCCGATCCGATCCGATTTCGGCTCCGTGCAGATGCATTCCGATCCGATGCACATTCCAGCTCGATCCGATTTCCCGTCTCGTTGCTGACTGATCCTGATTGGGATGGTGTCTCCAGTGGAGGCCCATGAGGCTCCTGGTCAGATGCCAACGGCCAACACGATGTGTACACGTATGCGGTAAGTTTCCGCTGGCCTGCGTTTGAAAGCGGTCTTTCGTCCACGCGGGATCGCGGAGTGCGTGCACGTACAAATGTCTTTGCTCGCTCACCTGGAATTTCTGGGAGGCTCCTGGGAGGCACGCAGGGCTTTTTCGGGGGGCGCCGGTTATACACCTGCAGCGGCCCTGGCCAGTCCAATCTTGGGCCGGGGTCGGTCTGTGTGTGTGTGTGTGTGTGTGGGTATGGCTTCCTGGCCGGGCTGGGAGGGCGTCTGCACTGATCCTGAACTTTTGGAGGGGGCCTGGACTCCAGGCCTCCCAGATTGGGTCCGAGTAGATAGGGTCGGAGGATTGCTCGGAGGGCACCCACTATACACTTCACCGATCCTGGCCAGGCCGATCCTGGGCCCAGGATGAGCCTGGCCAGGGTGTATAACTAGTTGGTGCCCTCCTGATCGCGCCGCATCGCCGCTGCATTGGCGATGCGGCGCGATCTGGAACCCGTTCTTCCCCATCTGCCGTCGCTGATGCATCGGCGTTGCGGCGCGATCCTCCGACCCCATCTGCTCCAGCTCCATGTAGGAGGCCTCTAGTCGATCCTGTGTCTAGGAGGAGGCCTGGATACGATCCGCTTTAAGTAAGTGTGTGTGTGTGTGTGTGTGTTTGTGCGCCCTCCGATCCGTGCGACGCAGCAAAAATCGCGACGGCCGTTGTGTCACAGCTTTCGGCCTCTGGAGGCCGTCTCCTGTCCCTAGGACCGTCGAAAAACCGCTCGGGACATTGGGGAAGTCCTGGGGGTCGACGTCACGAACATATGAGTGGAGATGGCGAACATGATGACGGTTATGTTGTTGATGGTGAAGATGCGGATGGGCATAAAAAGTAGGTGGAGGGGGTGGTAGGAGAGGGTTGTGATTGTGTTGTTGATGACGACAAGGATGTTGATCATTTTATGATCGAGGAGGAGGGCACGGAGGAGAGGGTGCGGAGGGAGAAATGATGCGGAGGAGGCAAAGGAGGAGGGTCAGAGAAAGGAGGGTGATGATGATAATGTTGCTGATGATGAGGCTGATGATGATGATGATGATGATGCTGCTGATGATGCTGATGATGATGATGATGATGATGATGATGATGTTGCTGATACTGATGATGATGAGGCGGAGGAGGAGGAGGAGGAGGATAACGATTACACCATCATAGCTGTCAGCATACCTTGATTTTGGGGACATACCTCTTGGCTGGGCCAAATACGATGCTTTCCATTGTGACATTCTTGAGGCCACGTATCCACGTCCCTCATACACACGCTGCTATACTGCGCTGGAGATACCTCACACGCCTGTCTACGCATGCATATACTGCGGATTGAAGGGGCAGCCTCATTCATACGCCTGCCTGTAAGCAGTACATGCTTTACACTGAAATGTACCCCCCGGCTCGGCTAGGGGACATGACCTTTGACGCGCCTCTTGGACATACCAAGTACTCGGAGGACGGTAAACATACACGAATTGCACACACATGCGTGAATGTGACACTGCTCCAGTACAATAAGTTCAGTATATACTGTTGACCGCATGCCTTCTCACACCGACGTGGCAATATTGCATTGATATGATGCGCACGTTTTTCAGTAACCAACGTACCGCAGACCATTCGGGATACAGCGCTTACTCTTGTGTCACCGTGCTTACGTTGCTCAAACACAGAGCCGAATCTCTTCATGACAGTCGCGTATTTTGGCATCGCCCCCGTGACTCATCCCTCAACCCCCCAACCCCCCGGCCGGATTTCTTTTCTTCTTTCCGCGGGGGGTCAACCTTCGCGGCGACCCGTTAAACCCGGGACCCCTGGCGGCGCATGGATTTCTTTCTTTCTTCCCCGCGCGCGTTGCCGTTGGAACCCCTGAACCCCTCCGACTACCGTACAACTCGTACTTGAGTACAACTGGTACTATCATGTCCTATCGCGCAGTTGTTCCTAGAGAGCACAAATCCCTAGTGCAACCGCGATTAAGGTGTTGTTGCATTGCACTTACAGTCTCGGCTCTCACGCTTTTCTTCCTCTGGTTGCGCTTGGGGGGGTGGGACCCCTCGCGCGGGCACCCCCGCGGCTGGGAGTTCATTCCTCTTCCGGAATTTGAGGGGGGGGTGACCCCCGTGCTCGAACCCCATCGCCAGGGTTTTTTTCTTTCCTCCGCGGAAACCGGACCCCCTGGGTTCTTCGGGGCCCCCCATTTTTTTTTCTTTCCGGTTGGGCCTCCATGGGTCTTAGGTTGGAGTCACCCGGGTGATATTTTGGCTCCAAGCATGGCTTCGTACATCAGCTGACTGCCCTGCGAGCACTGTCCATCACCACGCTGCGCAGCACTAGACCCACGTCAACCACCACGACAATATCACTCTACATTGCCTGCCCTATACCTGGCATGGGAGGCGCACGGCATACCCCAGGTAGGGGCACAAAGGGCACTTACAAGGCTTGCCATGCTTGTCCCATAACCTGGCATGGGAGCCGACAGGCATTCCTCAGGTAGGGGCCGCAGAACTTACCCGACATACATCCGTGTTTCCATTTCTTTAATTCAATCAGCAGGTACAGTAGCAGCCGCGCCCAAACCAACGATCTGTACAATGGTTGCGGCTCTCATTGCCGTACCTTTTTGCGCCATGCTTCCGCGGCAGGCGCCCTGCATATCATCTGCGGCGGGCGACGCGTTTGCTGTGCATGTTGACCAGTGGGCAAATACCACGCGCCTCGTTTACCTACCATCCCCCTCCATCCACACGGCATATTTGGACAAGTCCGATGACCGACGTGCCAGAGAGCGAAAGAGATCCATTGAACGGCAATGCCGGCAATCTTCAGAACAAGACGAAAACGACGGCAACGACGACTTACCACCGCGACGCAAAGAGCACCAACAGGATTTGTTACGCACGGCCACCCCCGCGCAATGCGACCCAGAGCCAGCGCTGGTATTGCGGGCACAAGCACAACCCAACAGACGCGACAACACGACCGACGCAAGGATCGACAAGTACTACGTATGCACCTCGTTACGCTCGGGATGCGAGTACGAATCAGTGCCCACGGCCAGAGGATGGGCACGCCCAAAGAGAGAGACCCACATTACATTCGCCTGCTTGCCCGGCATTCATTGACAATCTTTGGTGCTACTACAGCAACGGTTCCATCCGGCTGTGGACAGGTGGAAGGCTCGTCGACATCTCAACGCACTGGTCGCAGAGACCAGCCAGCATACCATAGTGAAGAAGGGCCGATTACCGTGCGGGCCAACAGCCGTTCGGCGATAGCGACGCCACCGACCATGACGTACGCCGACGACCGCGCAGCCGCTCATCTTGGGACGATCTCAGCAACGACATCGACAACAACACGGCACGTCTACGATGCTCCCACTTCAACGAAGACGGCACGGAAAAGGGCCTCGCCTCAATTAGACATTCAACGAGATCTACTACCAGCAACACGACAAGAGGTACGAGTTCCAGATGGACGAGGACAACAGCTTGCGCGCCAAGTTCAACGAAGACCACGATGCCACCTTCCTCAGCCCAATGACCGACCCGCAGCACAATGTCAGCACGGGCTCAGAGCTACTGTCTTTGACGAGAAGACCTAGCAGACGGCCTCCACGCATCAGGTGCGCCAGCACTGCACACACACCCTTGTCTACATGTATACTAGGGAAGCAGCGTAGGCGCTTCGCGCCACCCTCCACGCGCAGATAACCAGGGCACGTGGAACTACAGGACCCGTCAGATTACGAATGCCAGCTACTGAGCCAATCGACAGGATCGACACGAGACAAAGTCCGCCCAATTCCGGCGCCCCGCGCCGCCGACGTTCTGCGAGCTGACCTCGCCGACGGCCGCCAATCCAATGTTGCCCCGTATACTATGCCACCTGTTCCCGACACCAACCAGGAACTTCCGCCCCAACGAGCGCCGTGCACTTGCAAGACGCAGCCCCGACTATATCCGCCCGCGACCCACGCTCGAAATACCGCGCCCAAGCGGACCGCGCTTTCAATTCAGGCCACCAAGTTTCATCGGGATAGGAGACGGAGTCCGAATGTCCCATGGCGTCCAAGCCGACCGCTCCCATTCCAATTTCGCACAAAAGGGAACTCGCATAAGTTCGCGGTGCAGAGCGAAGACATTGCGCATTTAAGACAAGTTGCGACTTGCCTGTGCAGGCCGCGCAAACGAAGACACCGCAGCAGCGCGCGCCAATCGTGACATTCAAGCCCGAAAGAGCAAATCAAGACAGAGCGAGGCCTGGCGCGAGCTTCGGATATACGCCGCCAGCTGCAGCACAGATACCAGCGCCGCCTGCGCAGCATGCGCCGCCGCGGCTGCCGCAGCCGACCCCCCCCGCAACCTGTGGGACCA